TCTATATACTATTTCTTCTATATAAAGAAAACCATTTCTTCAATCATATTAAATTTTATTAAAAATTAATCGAGTAAAAATAACAAATCTTAAGTATCCAATTATAGTATGAACTACATAGAGTATAAAGGTAAAGGTAAAGGCATGAAAAAATTCAGACGTAATCGATGATATCGCATAATGATGATAGTGATGATAATGATGAATAAAATAAAATAAAATTGTATAATTGTATAATTGTGTGTTTTTATGAAGTTGTGTGCTCTGAAGTTATGAAGGACACTATTATATTTAATTATCTGACAAGAAATATGTATTTGTTTATTCCACTTACAAAATAAAATACTGAAAGGAGGAATGAAGAGCGTAAAAATTGTAGGCGAAAAAAAGCAATTTTGTCTATGGTGAGTCCTAAACACTCCTCATATGTAATTAGGGGAATCTATAGCAATTATGCTGTGAAATTAACTAATTTCAGTGATCCTAAGAAATGTCCAAAACTTACATACTGTCATGAGTAACCATTAATAAACAGATAGTAGACATTACATGTACAAATCAAGAAACTGAAGGTAACCTGATATTGAATTTTGCTAATGAACTACTGATATAATCTGACTATTAATAAAAATCTAAAGTAGAACTTTAGTTATTTGCATATGAAAAGAAGTTGAGAAGAAGCAATTCGTCCTGTAGTTCGTAATTGGTTTTTGGATATAAATATTTTCCAGAAATCAGTCATTATCTGATGTTCTCTATAAAATTTTGTTATTGCTAAATCCGTCTAATAAGTGTAGCTTCATGCAAGCCTTAGGATTTTTGGACTGTAATAGACTGTAATAGACTGTAATATAGACTGTAGACTATAGACTATAGACTGTGACAAATTAAAATGGGTTTGTCTTTTAAAAAACTTGGGATCATAAGGACTAACAGGAAACTTAAATATTTAAGCATTTTAGAATATGAAATCGTATTTTATAATATGATTTCTCATTTTATAATATGATTTCAAAAATTATAGTTATTCTTTAATTTTCTGTTTTTGGGGCAGAGAGTATAAATTATATATCTGTGGAAAAGTAAAACGCACATAATAATAGTAATAATTTTTTTTGAAAAATACAATATATTGTTAACTTAATTATTATTTTTTGAGTTATTTTAAAACGCTTATATGTATGAAGAATGCTTAAATAATATACGTAAATAAGAATTTGGCCAAATTTTTACTATTGCTTTTTTTCTTAAAAATGTTTGAAATAATTATTATTTCCGGTCTCTGATTAAAAATGTGTTTTGTTTCCGTTTACTTTCGGAATCACAAAATGGTGTGTGGATATATAATGCTTAATATAACTCGTTGGAAAGCAAATATCAGTTGATCTAAAATGATAAGACATAGAACTACATATATATTCTCTCGCCAAATGTTTTGTAAGAGTAAGTCATATAATGATTAACTATATATATGACTATACAGTCATATAACATTTAATGAAAAGTCCGACAATCTGAAAACTTTTATGTATTATATACATATGCATATTATATACAACTTTTAAAATATGTTTTTAATACATTATATACCTTTAATTTTGAAACATAAAAACGTAAGCGCATATTTCCAAACAAATACTGAGTATCTTAATCTGTACACATTATACGAGTCTACGTACCCAGCGGGACTTTCAGCGCTGAGGGAATCGATTCCCTCAGCGCTGAATGGTAATGCCTAGCGCTGATTATTCAAATGAAACTCCTAATTACTTTAACACGTGCATGTCATTGCGGGCAAGCGCTGAAATGTTCGATTACCTTTTCAAATTTGTAATGCAACATTTCAGCGCTGACATGCTCGCTTACCTTTTCGAATTTGTAATGCAACATATCAGCGCTGACATGTTCGCTTACTTTTTCGAATTTGTAATGCAACATATCAGCGCTGACATGTTAGCTTACTTTTTGGAATTTGTAATGCAACATATCAGCGCTGATATGTTAGCTTACCTTTTAATTTTACCTATGCTATTGATTTTTAAATAAAATACTATAAATTTTTTTGGATAAATTATATTTTATATTTATGTTTTATACAATTAAAATATTAATATTTACATAAAAAAATATAACATACTTATATATATGAATATTTTTCTGGAAATTGTTACTAAAACCTTGAAGAGATTTCCAGACTCGACTCGATCACTTGTTCCGGCTTACCATCTGTACTTAAAGCATCTGAAAATACAAAAGTATGTTATTGTATACGCTAAAGTTAATTATGTACAATATACCATACCAAAAAGTGCTGCTGTCACATTCTCTAACGCTCTTAAGGACTTCTTGTCTTGGGTACCATTCTCCAAAATTCCACGGAATCTTTCGCGTAATTGGTTGTTTTTTAATAACGCGTCTCATTGATGCAGTCTATAAATAACGTAATAGATGAAAAGAAATATATGAATTAGTAAAATTTTTACATGTGAATATATTAATAAGTTGAAATTGAAAGTAAGAAACATATATAATTTAACTTACAACTACTTCAACGGCAGTGATTTCTTCATTAAATTGAATTAACAAAATTGTAAAATTTTCCAATTGAAACAGCTGACTACATTTTACCCCTTGCTTTAGAATGACTGCATTCGCAGCACATTGGTAAATTAATCGTTCTTGACGCAGTAGCATCTACATAATACAAAACAAAAATTTCAATTATCATTTTAAATATATTTACTTGATTTTGCATATACTTACAGTGAGTTTATGATAAATTCACAAATTTTATTTATATTTTTAGATTTTATTTTAATTTTAAAAATTAAAAATTGTTTACTGCACGCACTTCACTAAAATCAAAAATAGACTAAATGTATACAATGCAGGCAAAACAAGAAATTCTTAATACTCCTTTGCTTTTCTTCTTCATTCTTTTATAATTTCAACCCCGAAATTGCCTATGTCGAAAACAAATGTCGAAAACAAAGAAAAATAAAAACGAAGAGCTATTACCTCTTCGCTTACTTTTTCAGCGCTGGCATAATGGTGCCGCTGGGTAAGAATAGTGTCTTGTAGTATTGCCAATACAAATATCAACAAAGCTGCTACTTATATTTGTTGCATACTTTCAGGCCCTAGGCAATATTAATTTGGAACAATAGACAGTATTTCATGCATTACGGATCCAAAATTGTGGCACCATTCAGATATGCATATTTCCGTAGTAGACGTTTTCACAACTTCAAATTTGAATTTAGTTTTTTTGAAATTTGGTGAATGTTTTATAAAAATAAATGATTTCATAAATAATAACATTGTGATTATAGCATAAGTGCTTCATTTAGTCTAAAAACAAGTTCCAAGAACTATCCAAGTTCCAAGCTATATTTTTCAACATTGAGAGATGTAGTGAGTAAAAAACCACAAATTTTATTTGATTCATCGAATTTTTTGAAAAATCCTACAGCAGATTTAAGTGCTGTCGAAATGTAGATACAAAAATAAACCAACAATGACACTTAAGTCAATAAAAATGCAACAAAGACTAAAAAACTAATTGAATTCCTCCTTTCGTCCTTTCGTGACGATCGGAAACAAGAAAATGTCATTGAGTGCCAAATCAGGATTGTACGGCCAGTGACCTACCAATTCGATTTCTTGAATGTTCAAATACGAGTAGTCGGTTTTTAGATGAGCTGTGTGAGCACTGGCATTACCTAGATTGTCTTGATTGAGAATGATTCGACGGCGCTTGTTTGTTTTCCATATTTGACTGAAGACTTCTGTTAAACAAATGATTGTATACCATTCCGAATTAACCGTTTTACGTTCCTGTAATAGTGTAGTTACCATATGACCAATTTTTCTGAAAAAACAAGCGACCATTTGTATCGAAATCGCGCACAACATTTCTTAGATTTGGTTCTTCTTGAAACACCCATACAGTCGACTTGGTGAAATCCAAGATCCAACGAGAATAAACCTTTCTCACCGCAAAATGATTGTGCAATATTTTATATATGATACTGGAACTAATATCTAGGGTTTCTTTAATCTCGCGACAATCCGCATTACAATTTTACATGATCAATTTTTGCACAGCATCAATGGACACTACTAGGGTAAAAACAGAGAATATGGTCTCCAACCATAAACCACAGAATACTAGGAGTACCACTGTTAACAGAACTGTGTGCTGCAAGAAAGTAATTGGGCGCGACCCGCAACGTTTTCAGCAATCACTGTTGCTTTCCCCTTCTTTTATATCTCTCTTTATCATCAATTATAAATAATTGACAAATTAACAATGCAATAACATTAATAACAGCAACAAATATTGCATAGATGGCAACAATATACAAAACCTTAGACATAACATAGAAACTAATTATAATTATCGGCTTTGGACATACGTATATATTCTTAAAAACCTTCCAAATATTTATAACTTTCTATTTATTATATTGCACTTAAGTTCCAGTTAGACTAAACTATTTAAAAATATTCTTGTAAAAATTTAGTGTTAAATGTAATTATCAATACTACAATAATAAGAACTTTCAGTGTAATCTTATCCATAATCCCGTAATCCGTAATCCACTTAAGCGCTTGAAACTTATCACTGAAGTAAAGAATATAAATTAACAGTCGATACTTATTTTTAAGGTCGATGATGTTTTCAATCCGTACCCTCAAGTGTAAGGCGAGTGTCTAAAATGAAAGGAGTTTGAAAGCATGGACGTTTCACGTACCAACCAATAATTGCTCAGAGATACATGTAGCGTTATTTAACAGTTCAACGTGTCAATTGGGAATAATTGTGTCAATTTCCAATTAACAGAAGTCAATGACAACGTATATCTATTCACATATACTACACTTCTACTAGTTGTGATCTTTAAACTTTTCAAGGTACTTTTCACATAAATGAAACAACAAATAATGCGTTAAATAATATTATTTATTGTAACTGTTACCAAAGCTTTAGAAATAAAAAATATACTTTTCATACTATCTGTAAAAATTTTGATGAATACCTTGAAATAAAAGATTTGATTAAATATTATATGTGTTTGAATTATAACAAAGTTAATTATCCTACTTACTCATAAAGAAAAGTTAGATCCGAAAATATAACCACAAATTTAGAATATCTCTCACGCGTCCTGTCGTTATGTCTTGTCCTTAAGTCGTACTATATGCCAATAATCCATTCATCTATATGTTTGATACCGTCACCGTGAGAATATTAAAGAAGTCCAGAACATTATTGATTGCTGTCAAACATGAGATTTTCTTTTTTTTTTTTTGTTTAAAAAATTATTCAATATATTTATAGTCATATCATACCATTGACGGCCTTTGTAGTGCAATATTATTTTCCGCGAATCCTTCTACCCTTTTTACCCTGTTTTTTAGCACGTCCTCCACGACGGCCTACCTTGTTTTTCTTTGCCCGACGCTTGTTAACTACCCTCTTCCGTTTCGCTGCTTTGCGTTTCCTTCCAATTTTCGGTGTATTATCTTTTAAAATTGAGTAGATACTATCCACAATGTCTTCACTGCTCGACGACACCAGCGGTCCGGGTGTAGAAAATTCCTGTTTTTCTGTTTCATTGAATTTCATCCACATCTCACCACATTCTTTTATAACTTCTACCGATGTCAGTTTTGGGTGTTTCTCTTCAATATACTTTACAAAATTTATAAATCTATCTTCACTCATTGTACCGAAATTTTGTTTTCAAAATTTGATGAAATATATTTTAATAATAATTTTTTATTTTTGTTTATATATATATATGAACATTATTATTGAAAAAGCAAATGTATATGTGATTTAAACAAAAATAAACTTTATATGAAATCAAAATAAACTTTCAATTTTTTTTTATAAAACAATTATTTTAGGGCGATATTATAGACAGTCATACGACGAATGGTCACTGGTATTCTACGGCCATCTCCAAAGGGCTTAAAACCTTAAAGGTTTTTTTATCCCTCTATCATATGGCGACGACTACCGCATCCGAACGAACCATGAACTGTATGAGCTTTATTAACCCATTGATATAATGCAGCGAATTCACATCCAGCGACTTTGCTATTTTGATGAGAATAGAAGGAAATGCTCCAGTGAAAAAGATATTTGAAGCGGTAATTGGAGGAAGAAGGTGTTAAACAAAGCCATGTTCGAATTGAAGAAGCACTAACCACACTTAAAGGATATTGGAGAATTCGTGCACGCAGCAGAAGCATCTGGAGAGGAGTGCTGCGTCATGCCTAAACACGGTAAATTAGTTGTTATCGCTATTAAAGTATGTAAGTAAATTTAATTATTTTTTCAATTATAGTAGACCGTGCTTCTGGTGAAATGATCAAGTTGAGCAAGCTCTAACCGCAATTGATGTAAGAGACGAACAGATGAGGACGCCAAAATCCGGTAAAATAAAATAATTATTTGATCAATTGTAGTAGACCGTGCCTCTGATGCAGTGAGTAAGCTGTGTAAGCACTAACCTGACTTAATGATCAAGACTGGAGTAGACGAGGACTTAACAGAGCTGTCTTAAAAGGAACGCTGCGTCAGGCCAAAACTTGATAAATGAATTGTTATGATTATTTAAATAAGTAAGTAAGTATAATTATTTATTCCATTATAATTATATATTCCATTATAATTATGTTTTCCTTTATAAATATTCATTACATTCCTTTATATTTATTTTATAAAAATACAGTGGACGTCCAATATAACGAATTTTATGTTGCACCCCTTGTTCGTTATATCGAAAAATTCGTAATATCGAATGTTATACATTTACCTACCAATATGGTTATTTTTAGGAGATTTCATATATTTGAGTTCATAAATTAACTTATAAACACGTACGAGTATATATTTATTTAAAAGTATTTTTTATTCGGTTGTTACAAAAATTATTTATAAGAAAGGACGCATTCAATCATAGTGTAGAGTAAAAAAAAATCATTAATTTTTGTTTGTTTTTTACTACACTCAAGACTTTTCTGAACAGCTTTTTCTTGTAGTTCTCTTAGTACAGCTAATTTTGTCAAAATTAATTTTTAAATGATATTTTCAAACAAATACATATTAAATATAAACACCTTAATATGTACATATGTATGTCTTGATAGTATTTCGTATATGATAAACTGAATTTGTGAACAACAGATCAGTGGCGCCTGCATATATGCATTTTGCCATATATAGGCATTTTTCTCAGAAACAAAAAACGGACAATTACATGCATATTCTAAGCTGAATAATGCTAGTTTTATAGTAAAATTATATTCAAAAGCATAATTTGTATAAAACAAAAACGAATAAGAAACAAAAAATTTTTTGTTCGTAATATGGAGCAGAATTTTTTTTTTCGTTCGTTATATAGAACAATCAATGTAAATATTTTGGGTGTTCGTTATATCGAAAATTCGTAATATCGAGCGTTCGTTATACTGGACGACCACTGTAATTGGAAAAAATTCACTTTTTTGGTGATCAAAACCTGTCGAGCCTATTTAACCCTTTAGTTCCCGAGAATGTCTTAAGGCAGCCCACAATAATTTGCGAAATCCTTAAATTTTAAATATATGATGCTGAGTTTGATGATCTTTATTTATATTTTTTTTTTTTTTTGAACAAAGATTGCTTAATTATTTTAAAAATATCTGTAGTGATTTTTCTAAACAAAAAAAAAAGTTGGAAACTGAAGGATTAATTTGGAAACATTTTTTTTTTCTGTTGACCAAGTCCATCATTTCAAACATAAAATATTAATAATTTAATGACGCCCCTAAAACAGCGGTGAAGCTCAAGATCTACCACGCGTCAAAAACAAAAAACAAGAACAAGAAAAAACAAAAACAATTCCGTTGCATTTCGGATTTGCTTTCTTTCTGTCGTGAAAAGACATAAGAAAAAAAACAAAAAAAAAACAAAAAAAATAAAGGGAATGAAAGCATTCCAGTGCAATTGAAAAGCAATGCCTGCACTACTTTTTTATTTGATGAGCAAAACAAAACAAAGCATAAAAAACAATCTGTACCAACCAACAACCTACAACCAACAACAACATTGTATAAGTAAAATCAATTGACATTATTAACTCAGAGCACAGAAGCACGAGAGCGTGGTGCAGGAGAGTCCATTCATTTCCCTTCCAACGAACATTTGATTTGCGGAGTGTGGTGTGTGCTGAGCGGTGTGTGCTGAGTGGTGTGTTTTGCCCACATTATAAAAAAAGAAAAAACAATAATAAAAAAAACAATTTACTTTGCTTTTTACCATTGCTAGAATTTTTCAGCAACAACAGTTTGCGCAGACAGTCTTCGCTCTCTTGTAAGTGCTTGCCTGCTTGCCAGCTTGCTTGCCTGCTTGCTTGCTTGCTTGCTCAATTGAAAAAGTTTGTGCTTAGCAAAAACTGAAAGAGCAGCCGATCGTTCAGTTGTTTTCGCAACGCTTTTGCATGTGGTGTGTCAGGTGTCATGCTCGCTTAATAAAAAGGCGGTTAAGTGCGATCGGAACATATAAAATCGTAATTTTTAATCGTAATTTTTGATTTCAATAAATTTATTTTATTTTTTTTACCTTCAATCGTTTATCTAATTACATTTTTTTTTGAGATTTTTTTTTTGTTGTAATATTTGATTAATTAAAAACAAACATATATGAATTGATGATTTGTTTTTAATGAAATGCTTTACGTTACTGCATTGAAATACATACATAAGTGAATTATCATTTTGTGCTTAAATATTTTTTTTAAATATTTTCAAAATTGTAAATCATATTTTGTACTTAACTTACAATATCTAATACTTCAACACAAAAAAAAAAAAAAAAATAAATAAATAATTAATATATATAGTATATCTGTTTGTAAGTAAAAGTGTTAATAAAAATTAATAAAAAAAATTATTTAGCAATGTGTAAGAAATACATATATATCTACATAATCAGTTGATGGACGCAACGGTGTATATAAATGCGGGCTTATCAGTTTTTGTATTAAACAGTTTGTTCATGTGATAAAAATGTACAAGAGAGCACAGATAAGTAAGAGAAGAGTTAAATAAGAATTATTTAAAAAAAATATATATATTTATACATACATATTTATATGTATATATGTATTTAAAAAATATAATATTTTATTGTATTTTTAACGAAAAAAAAAAACAAAAAAAAATTGTGCAAACAAAAAAAAAACAATACTTAAAACAACTTCATTAAACAAAATAAAAAATACGGAAGTGCTTTCAACTGCTGTGACAAAATTTCTTTAAAAATAAATAAAGTACAACAACAACAATAAATAAAAAATGAAAAAAAACAAAACAGCAAGAAACAGCTACAAAAATAAAAGATATTAACAACAAGGCACCAACAGCTCGAACAACAACAACCACAACACAACAGAAAAACAACAACACAACAACTTTAATTGGTAATAATCATAACAATAATAATGAAATTATAAGATTTATACATCTACATACATATATACATATATAATACATAAATATAATTAAATGTCAACAAAATGTGCACATGTGTATATATTATTTTTTTAAAATTCTTCCACTCCCCTCATTTGCACTTCCCCATTAATCCTGGTACGGCCATTGTTGTGCCTTTAATTTTAGTTATTAACTAAAAATAAAGCAGGTGAATCATTAAAGTAAACGTAAATTATTATTCCAGCAAAAATAAATATAACAAGAATATGCAAATAAAAACTTGTTAACTCAAGCAACAACAAAAATATTAAACAAGAAACAAAAAAAAAAACAAAAACAAAATAAAGGGGAAAAAATGCAAGCATAACTTGTTGATCCACAAATTTTGTTATTGATTGTTTGATTATTGTAGACTTAAGCCAAAGCACCAACTAACAATAGAACGGGGGTGTGCATACACCACAGATTTTTTTTTTGTTTTATTTAAAAAAACAAACACAACAAACATAAAATGATTTTTTTCTCCCTTTGTCAATACACAAATTCGCTTTATAATCAATCGGTAGCATTGTAAAGTCAGAGGATGTACATATGCTTACATACCACCCCAATCCAACTTAGTAGCTGTAAGTCTGCCCCATAAGCAAGCTATTACTAATTATTTCTTATTACAATAATTCTTATTAGAATTAAAACAACAAATATTGTTTCCAATAAGAATTATGTTATTGCAGTTGGTTTATAACCAAAGCATCAACAGTGGCAATCTTAATTTCAATAACAGTAGTGACCGTAACAGTGACAGTGACAGTGTCTGAGGCGGTGACAGTGTCTGTGGCGGTGTGTTTTAACACCATTTATTTATTTGCTTGCTAATTAAAATATTAACAAATTAATTTGTTGCTAATTTCTTGTAAGTGTTTTGAATTTTCTTTTTTCTTTTGTCTTTTAATTATTATTGATAAAAATATTCGCCAGAGTAAGGCGAATCATATCTGTCGTTGTTGGAATTGATAAAGATAAAGTTAACATAAACAACAAAAAACAAAAAAAATAAAAATAGTAAATAATATATTTGCCATTTCTTAAATAAATCATTACTTTTTGAACTATGACAAATGCCTTCGTTGGCGGCACAAAGCTATAGCTATTAATAAATGTTTATATGTAAAATATATATTCGGATGATTATGTGTGTGTTGTGTTATTCTACAAAAAATAATAGCGTCAGTATTAACCGCAGCTCTACGTGCTTCTATGGAATTTTCA